GAAATCAAGCCTGGATGCACAAAGCAACCAGATGTCTGGCAGGAAACTCCCAGGTGCCTAAACGGGGTGCCCAACCATCCAGGAACCTAGGCCAGATGCCCAACTCTCCTCCTCAGGCGCCCAGACACTCTCAGGCACCCAGATCTCCTCCTTAAATGCACAACCCTCCTCCTTAGGCCCCCAAATCTCCTCCCCAGGGGCCCAGCCTTCCTCTTTAGGCGCCCAGATCTTAGCCTTAGGCACCCAACCTTCCTCCTTTGGCGCCCAGACACCCCCTCGCGCTCAGGCAACTCTCTCTGGCCTCCAGGCACCCTTTGGCGCCCAGACTGGCGCCCAAGCATCTCCCCCTAGCGCCCAGACACCCTCTGACACCTAGCCTGGCTCCCAAGCACCCCAGCCCAGTGTCCTGGCTCCGACGGAGACCTCTAAACCTTCTTCTCTACCGTTCTAGAAGCTCTACATAGACAGCTCCTCGACCAGTGAAGGAGGTGGAACAAGCCTAATCCTAATCAGCCCCAACCCACTCTCATCAAGTATGCGGTGAAGCTATACTTTTCTACCTCCAACAATGAGGCAAAATACGAAGTCCCCCTCTCTGGCTTAAGATTGGCGGCTGAATAGAAACCCAGCACCTCATCACTTACTGTGATTCTCGGTTGATAGTTAACTAAGTAAATGGCGAGTTCGAAGCAAAAAGAGCTAGAATGCTGGAGTACCTTGGTATAGTCAAAAGCTTAATCACGAAGTTGCAATACTTACAGATCTATCACATCCCGAGAGAGGATAACATAGTCGTAAATGCACTTGCCTGGCTCGCCTCATCTTCCCAAGCCCTTCCAGGACCAACATTCATCGGTCATCAGTTTGAACCAAGTAATTTAGACGTGAAAACCACAAACATCAACTATGCGTTCACTGAATCAAACTGGATGACTCTGATAAGGGCATACCTCCAAGAGAGTGCATTGTCGGATGATCCCCTCGAGGCTAGCAAGCTTAGGATGAGAGCCTCCAAATTTACTATCTTATAGGATACTTTGTACAAGAAAAGCTACTCATTGCTATACTGCGGTGCCATACACCCGAAAAGGCTCATTATGTCCTACAAGAGATCCACGAAGGGATTTGTGGGAACCACTCTGGAAGACACTCCCTCACCCACATGACACTCAGACAGGGATATTTTTGGCCTAGTATGGTGAGGGATGCCCAGGAGTTCGCCAAGAAGTGCGACAAGTGTCAGTGCTTCGCCACGGTGTCCAGACAGTCACCAAAGGAGCTAACAACCATCACAAGTCTGTGGCCTTTTTCCAAGTAGGGCATCAACATCCTAGGCCCCCTACCTCTTAATAGAGGACAATGTAAGTTCGTAGTGGTCGTCGTCAACTACTTCACAAAGTGGGTAGAAGTAGAACCCTTAGCAAAAATAACAAACGCAAAGGTGAAAGATTTTATCTAGAAAAACCTAGTCTGTCGCTTCGGGATACCCCACGCCATTTTCAATAACAACGCCAAGCAATTCGACAACAAGCTCCTGAACTCTTTCTGCTCCAACCTTCAGATAAAGCAGCCTCATTCCAACCTAGCGCATCTGTAGGCAAATAAACAAGCAGAAGTCATGGTGAGAACCATATTGTGCAACCAAAAGACAAGGCTCGAAATGGTGAAAGGTCTTTAGGTTGACAAACTCCCAAGCGTACTATAGCCCTACTGAACCACACTAAGAACTCCAACTGGAGAAACCCCCTTCTCCCTAGCCTTTGAAATTGAGGTAGTCATCCCTATGGAGATCAGGATGCATTCTCTAAAGGTTCAACGCCACAACCCTATCACCAATTAGGAAGAACTCTGCATCAACCTCGACTTGGTAGAGGAGGCAAAGGAAATGGTTGTGGTCCACAACGTAGAATACAAGCGTTGTATGGAGAAATACTATAACTTGAGGGTGAAGTCTCGCTCCTTCCATCTAGGAGACTTGGTCCTCAAGAAAGTGATCCTCGCCACAAAGGATTCACAAGAAGGAAAGTTGGGACCAAACTGGGAGGAACCCTACTTCATAACAGAAGTGGTGAAGTCGGGCACCTATAAGATCCAGAATTATGAGTGAACGGTCTTACCCCATCCATGGAATGCTGAACATTTGAAGAGGTACTACCAATCACACCTTGAGAGAGTCAAAGTAGAAAAGTTGGGGACTTAGTTTTATGTTTTATTTTTTATACTTTTTTGTGGGGCTATTACCCGATATTGCTTTACATAAGCAATGAAATGAATAAAACTTTCTAGATTTACTTCAAGAGATTTTTGCATTTTTGTATTCAACTTCTCAACTTCAAATGAGTATCAATGGCAAAAACCACTATTACAAAAGAAGGGCTACAAAAATGTTTTTCCTAAAAAAAAAAATTAAAAAGTTCCTAGCACTCGAACTACTCTCATGGTTGTCATCTTCCTCCTCATCATCACTTTCAGCATCGTCAGAGCCTCCATCCACTATCATCAGGCTCCTTAGTTGGCAAGAAGCCTAAAACATCAATATCAGGGAAAGCAGTAGAAATCTTTCCCTAGAGCTCCTCATAACTGTCAATGAAAGCATCTGCAACCATTCTCCAGGTCCACCTCAGCCTGAAAAGCTCTATCCTAAGAAACCTTCACCTCTGCCTCTACGGCAACCTCTCTGAGCATGGCTCTCTTGCAAGTCTCTGCAAGCTCAGCCTCACTGAGCGTGACCCTCTCACGGACCTCAGCAAGCTCAGCCTCGATCCTGGCCACCCTTCTATTGGTCGTCGAAAGCTTAGTCTCAAGACCAGTCGCCCTCTCACGAGTTGCCATAAGATCAATATTAGAAGCCCTGCTAGTAGTTTCAAGCTCGACGATCCTCACCCGAGCAGCAAGGAGCTCCTTTCGCACAACATCATGGTCCGACTTTAGCTTTCCGTGAGAATAAGCCCTTGAAAGTAAATACATAGATGTAGTAGAAGCCTGAAGAAAGATAAGGTTCAAAGGATGTCAGAAGCTTAAGGTGGGATTGGAGAAATGGAGACAACAAACCCTTACCTTAGCCAAGCCTTCCAAGAAAGAGCTGATGATTCCCTCAGTGCCCAGAGCACTAATCTTGCAAATGTCATTGGGAAACACAAACCTCCCAAGTCAATACTTTATAACTGGTGTGTTACCCAACATTTAGGTAATCTAAATCGGTGCCCTTCTGGAAGTTTCCATAGGAGGAGTGGATGAATGGGTGGCAGAAGGTGTGGCAACAAGCGGGACTCTAGAGCAAGAGATGCAGCTGAGGGAATCTCCGACTGAGGAGGCACTTGATGAGAGGTCACTCGAGGTACCACTGAAGGGGTTGACTGAGGAGAGCTCACCTCAGGCGAAACCACTGGAGAGGTCACTTAGGAGACATCGTCCGTCGCCACCTCGGAAGGATGAGGACTCCAACCTGAGAGGCAGGACCCAATCACCTCCCTATCTACTGCTGCAAGGAGAATAAAGTGTTACCTAGATGAAAAACATCAAGTAAAGGAGGAAGGTATAAAAAAATCAACTCACCCTTCCTCTTCGAAGAGGAGCCGCCGGACTTCAGGGAGGGAATAATAGCCCTAGCACCAGCTCTAGGGGAACCTTTAGCCCCACTATCCTTGGGCAAGAGAGCTATCAAGTCTTTGTCAGGGTGAGCCCTCACGGCTTGCAATTTCCCTCTTGGTCTTTTGAGAGCACATGCGAGTCTGCAAGGAGATGATAGGCATCCACATATATAAAAATAAAAATAAAAATAAAAAAGAGAAAAAGAGTAAGTGTAGGGCGTACCGAGTCTCCTAGCAACACCCCATTGTGTTGGTACCAATGCCCTATCGGCCTCTACAGCCCACTCTCTGCCGACAAATAAGAAACGAGATTTCCAACTATGGCAATTGAAGTGTAATCCCATAAGCAACTTACCCCCTCTTGTGGTAAAATAGTACCACCCTCTATTTGGAGCAGGAGTCTCACTCAAGTTATAAGTTGCATGGAACTTCGTAGGAGAAGCATCCTTATGATGCACGTTCCTCCACAATACAAGAAAGTCCAGCAAGGCTCTCCAACCATTAGGTGCCAATCACCCCGAGGTCAATGAAAAATAATGCAGAATGTGACAAATGGAAGAAGACATAGGGAACCTAAGCCCAACCTCAAGCATCTTCTCATAGACAACAATGTCTCCAGAGGAGTTGTCACAAGTAGGCTCACCCATCTCAGCCCGACGGCACATTACAGTTGGAGGAATGTGATAAGCAGAAATAATCCTCAGAATATCATCATCGGTATTAAGCATACTAGAAAGGGTACTTATTTTGGACCCACCATCGTCAAGAGTTACTTTGCTATTGTGTTTTTTGTTGCGAGGACATGAAGAGTTACCTGAGCCACTACCGAAGAGGCCCTGATGAGTCTGATCTTGAGAAACTACACTTGAAGGAATCGGGTCATCACCACGTGCCCGGCGTACTCTGCCCCAAACCAGGCTTGCTAGCTCCGTGCCCAGCCTCTACCACTGAGGGGAGCTCGCCCAAGCTTCCTAGAGCAGCAAGCTGCTTGCCCATGCTACCCAGCGCAACAGGCTCGACAAAACCACCCAAAATCGAACCCAGATTCACACGCACAACAATCACTTCATGACAAATTTGCTCAGCACTTCACACCAAGTTAGCAGTCTAAACCATTCGCCTGGCCACATGGGCTGTTCGCCCCTCACCAATCTGGACCGACTACTCGCCTCCCCTGGATTGCTAGCCCAAATGAGGTCATCACAGCCTACATGCCCCACAACGGGCTCGCCTAGAACTCGACATGGATGGGCTACTCGCCCAAGTGATCTACGCGCCCACCTGCGTGCTTGGGCTCGGCTGGGCTTACCATACCAGCAGCCTACTCAACACCCCCAACGGCGGGATCTGGGTGCCCACTGGGGTTGGCCAAAACAATGCGCCCAGCATACTCAGTCTCACCTCCACACACTACCGAGGCACCCAAGGATAGCTCCTCCCTGTTCTTGTCCTCCCTTGCCTCAACCAGTCCGCCTCCCTGCTAGCCAAGATCACCCAAGACAACGCCACCTTCTCACGCGCATGCCTAACATCACCCGACGGCACCTCTCTTCCCTTTTCTCCAGATTCTCCACCAAGACCCACTAGCTCCCCACTGATGGTAACATTGATTCCTTCAAGTTCTCCACCAAGGTTTGCAGACCTCTGCGCATGCTATCAACCATTCGACGTTATTCAAAGAATTTCACTCAAGAAGCTCCTTGAATAATTTTTTTGGGAACAAAGCTCTCATCTTCTCCCATGATTATATGAAGTGGGTAAAATGAAAAAGAAGGCTTTTATTTATAGCCTAGGGTTTTTAAAAGAGCAAAAAGCCCTAATTAAAAATAAAGGGCTTTCCTAAAAGACCCAAACAAAAACGAGGAGAGACTTGAGGCATTCTACAAGGCAGGGTAAATCACGAAGGAAGAGTCATCAGTCATAAAGAGTCTCCACCACTCAGAGCTCAAGATTCAAACAAATGCCCCTTTCTACAAGTTTCCTTAGACATGGGACATTGGGGGGCAAATGATGGACCAAGCCCAAATGACCCAAATCCATGCTGAAAGCCCAATCTCAATTAAAGACCCAAGCTTATAAAGACCTAGCAGGCCCAATGTGCTCCACGTCCGATCAAGCTCATTAGTAGGGAACAGGGTTATCAAGAGTCTCATTCTCGCTACCTTGGACAGAGTCAACATCCCGTGTCATCCTTTGACCAAATTTCATGGAGAGCATCACAATTGCCTTGCCCATTGAGGAGAAATCGTCAGCTCCACCAAAATAGTTATTCAGTTGCTATTAAGTCGCCCCAATCTGTTAGAGTGACTATAAATTGTAAGCCTCACCAACACTTGGAGGACATCACACTCAATTGAGCACATCTCTCATCTCCCTCTCTAAACTTGTAACTCTTGACTCTCCTTACACATTTGAAGTAATAAAAATACCCAGTGACCCTAACCATTCAAAGTGGACGTAAGTCACGTTGACTGAACCACTATAAATTACTTGTGTTTCTCTATCTCCCTACTTAAATATTACATTTATTACTGTTCACTTGACAGGTGCTGTGCAAAGCCATTTTGTGCATCATCAAAAATTTCTACATCACGGGGTTAAATGTTTCACCAAATTTTTGCCTCGTGATGGCACTGAGACCCTATGCTCAGTCTCAACCAAACACTTAGAAATGTACACAGAATGCACACAAGAATAGAGAATGAATAGTAAGCAAATACCCACATAGATCACACAAGATTTACAGGCCAACAAGCCAAACATTTCTTTCTCAATAAAGTATAAGAAAACTCAACCTTGGGTCTGCTTACAAAAACGTGTCCAACTCTCTTGGTTGCACTGCAGACCCAAGCATCCCTATTGATAATGTTCAGGGTGGCGGTTACAAGCCCAACCGCCTAGGCAACTACATACAATTCAAATCCTCTTAGAAGTCTATTGTGATTGGATAACAGAGGAAGTTATAACTGGTGTCTGACATAGCCAGGAACTATCTGCAACTTCTCTGCATACTATCTGAATCTGACAAAGATCCTACATGATGTGCACTTGCCAGAAACTGCACAGAACTGTCACCATTTGTAGGGCACATGCCCAACGTCCTCACATGTTGTGCATGTGCCATGAGCCCTCAGCATCCGATTGTATTGCATTCGTGTCTAGCCATGGCCTAGCCCATGGATCAATCCTTCAAGCTAGCATTACCCCATAATTCAAGCCACCCGACTTCCCTGCTTGCATGTTGACTTGTGCCCATGTGCCCATCTACATAGACTGTCTCCCTCAGTCATGCATGGGACTTCTTCTGCCAATTTGGCTAAAAATAGGCGCCTTTGGGCGAGGCTGCCCTATGCCAATGCCGCCAATGAGTTAAGGGGGTAACAAACCACCCCCACTAAAAGAACTCGACGTCTTCGTCGAGAGGTTATCTCAATACTCCTTGATATGTTTCTCAAATTGTCAAAGAGTCATATCTCTTTCCCAACTCGCTTCTGCCTCTGACCAACCTTTTCAATGAACCAGAAAATCAGTCTTGTAATTCTTCTTACTCTGACCCATGGTCCGGTGAGATAGAATCTTATTGACCTCTATGTCAAATTGTTTCCTAATGATAGTCGAAGCCCTCCTAGCTTGTTTTCTTTCATCATTCAATAAGTCTTCCTAAAAAGGCTTCAGAAACCTCACATGAAAAGTTAGGTGAATTTTCAATCGATTAGGTAGCTTCAAGCGATAGGCAACATTTCCGACCTTCTTCATCACCTCAAAAAGGGCATCGTATTTGGGAACAAACCCATGGTGTAATACCTTGATGTTGATCTTTTTCCACAACGCATGAGTCAATTTTAGTAAAACTAGATCATCAACTTGAAATTCCAATGGTCTGCGACCTTAATCAACATACTTCTTCATTCGTCAAGCAGCTTTGGCCAAGCTGTCCTTTGCCTCGTCAAGCAGCTCCTGCTTGGAACGGGCAAATTGATATGTAGCAGGACATTTTCCTCTGATCCTCTATTTTACCACTTCATATGGAGTAAGTAGCTGATGTCCCATGGCCAACTCACTAGGACTCATTCTTGTTGCTGAAGATCTATCCAAGTTGTAGCAAACTGGGCAGTGTCCATAAGCTCTACCCAATTGTTCCGACTTGCAGTGACATAGTGCTGCAGGTAGTCCTCCAACAAGGCATTAATATGCTCAATCTGTCCGTCAGTCTGGGGATGATTTGTTGCATAGAACTTCAACTCAAAACCCATGAGATTGAACAACATAGTCCAAAATCTGCCAGTGAACCTAGTATCACGATCATTGACTATATCTTCCAGGAATCCAAAGTATTGCACCAAGTACTTGTAGAACAGCTCTACAGCAATATCCGCAGGGGCAAGCATGAGGTACAAGAATGAACACCGCATACTTGGAGAAACAATCGATCACCACTATGATCGAACGAATGCCATCAACCTTTGGCAGATTGCAAATGAAATCCATCGAGGCTGACTGCCACAATCTGTTAGGAATGCGCAGGGGCTAAAGCAGGCCTGCTGCCTTTTTTTTCTCAACCTTGTCAAGTTGGCACACAAGACAGGTTCTGACATAAGCCTCAACATCATCTTTTGTCTTGGGCTAGTAATAGGAGCGAGCCAGCAATGCAAGCGTCCTCTCTAATCTTGGATGTCTAGCCCATTGGGAGTCGTATGTTTCACGCAGCAACTCCAGTCTTAGTTCCCCTCCAGTGGAACATAAAGTCTGCCCCCTTTAGCATAGAGCAGATCATCATCAATCCAGTACCTACGCACCAGACCCTCACCAACTTGCCACTTCAATTTTCCATAAGCAACATCGGTCTGGGCTCTTTCTTTGACTCTTGTCAGGAAGTCAGTTTGCATACTAGACATTGTAGCAACATAATCTTGGACCTCTTCCCTACTCAATGCATCAGCAACTTGATTCTGTCTCCCGTCTATGCACCCACACAAAATCAAACTCAGTAAGAAATTCCTACCATCGAGCCTGCTTCAGGGTCAACTTCTTCTAGGACTTGAAATAAGTGCTTGCCACATTGTCTGTCACAATAATGAACTTCGTTCCCAGCAAGCAGGGCCTCCAGATTTCCAGGCAATGCCCCATAGCAGTCATTTCCTTCTCGTGTGCTGAGTATTGCTGCTCCACATCTTTTAGCTTTCAACTTTCAAAAGCAACAGGGTGTCCCCCCTGAACAAGGACTCATCCACTGGCACGATCAAATGCATCTGTGTGCACTTCGAATGACATATCGAAGTCCACCAGTCTCAGTACAGGTACAAAAGATACTGCATGCGCTTCAGCTTCTCAAAAGCTGTTTGACAGGCACCATTCTAGTCCCACTTTTTGTCTTTCTTTAGCAAGTCAGTCAGAACATTACACTTTTTAGAATATCCCTCAATGAACTTGCGATAATAGTTGGCTAAGCCAAGGAATGACCGTAGTTCAGACACCTTGGTTGGTATAGGCCAATCAACAATTGTCTTCACCTTCCTCTCATCCATTCGGATCTAGCCTTTACTAATATAGTGTCCCAAAAACATCACCTCTTGGTGACAGAATTCACATTTTTCCTCTTTAACATACAACTGGTGCTCTCTAAGACATGAGAACACTGCCCTCAAATGATCTATATGATCCTTCACCGTTTCACTATAGACCACAATGTCATCCAAGTAAACAACCACAAAGACATTAATGTACTCATAAAAAATATCATTCATTAAATTACAGAAAGTTGTCAAGGCATTAGTGAGCCCAAACGGCATTACAAGGAATTCAAAAGAACCATAACGCGTCACACACGCATTATTAGGCTGATCCCCTTCTACAATTCTAGCATGTCAATACCCAGTCCTAAGATCCAGCTTCGTGTAGAAGGTGGCCTTGAAAAGTCTGTCGAATAGATCAGTAACATTCGCAACTAGGTACTTGTTCTTAATTGTCACCTTGTTCAAGGCCCGATAATCGATGCACATACGCAATGACCCATCTTGTTCTTAGATGGCTTCATACTACCAGAATCTAGCAACTTGTTCAATTACTTTCTCAATTCTGTCAATTCTATCGACGACATTCGGTAAAGGGCACGGGCTGGAAGCCTAACACTAGGCTCCAATTCTATCTTGTGGTCAATTGCACATCTGGGTGGAAGGCTTTTGGGGAGTTCAGGGGGCATAACATCAGCAAATTCTCCCAGTACATCTGTCACTGCATCAGGTACTTCAACTAGCACATCTGGTTTGATCTCCACCAAAACTGTGAGGTATGTCATCTCGCCCTTCTTCAATCCAACTTTCACTTGCATAGCGGACAACATTACCATCGTCTGCTTTTCATCTTTCTTGCTTTAGTCTGCCATGACTGTAGGCACAAAACAGGGTGCTTTCTCATCCACGATTAGCACCCCATTCAAGTGTGGCATCAGTGCCACCGTTGTCGTAATAAAGAATTCATTCCCACAGATGGTGTCAAACTGATGATGCACAAATTGGTTTGCACACCACCTGTCAATTAAGCAGTATTAAATATAGTAAAGTAGGGGAGAGAAAAGATCAAGTTTATAGTAGTTCGATCAATGTGACCTACGTCCACTTAGAATGGCAAGGGTCGCCTGGGATTTTATTTCCACTTAGAATGGCAAGGGTCGCTTGAGATTTTATTAACTCAGGTGTAGTGGGAGAGAAGAAGGTTACAAGCTTTGAAAGAGGAAAAGAGAATTTCACTCAAGAAGCTCTTTGAAGGATTTTTTGGGAACAAAGCTCTCCTCTTCGCCCAAGATTGTATGAAGTAGGTAAAATGAAAAAGAAAGGTTCTATTTATAGCCTAGCGTTTTTAACAGAGGGAAAAACCGCAATTAAAAATAAAGAGCTTTCCTAAAAGACCCAGACAAAAATGAGGAGAGACCTAAGGCATTCTTCGAGGCAAGGTATATCACAAAGGAAGAGTCATCAGTCAGAAAGAGTCTCCACCACTCAAACCTCAAGATTCAAACAAATGCCCCTTTTTCCAAGTTTTCTTAGACATGGGGCATTGGGGGGCAAATGATGGACCAAGCCCAAATGGCCAAAGTCCATGCTAAAAGCCCAATCTCAATTAAGGACCTAAGCTTATAAAGACCTAGTGGGCCCAATGTGGTTTACGTCCGATCAAGCTCATCAGCAGGGAACAGGGTTATCAAGAGCCTCATTCTCGCCGCCTTGAAAAAAGTCATCACCCCGCGTCATCCTTTGACTGAATTTCATGGAGACCATCACAACTGCCTCGCCCATTGAGGAGAAATCGCCAGCTCCACCAAAATAGTTATTCAGTTGTTATTAAGTCTCCCCAATCTATTAGGGGGCGACTATAAATTGTAAGTCTCACCAACACTTGAGGGGCATCACACTCAATTAAGCACATCTTTCCTATCCCTATCTAAACTTGTAACTCTCTGCTCTCTCTACACACTTGAAGTAATAAAAATACTCGACGACTTTAGTCATTCAAAGTAGACGTAGGTCACGTTGACCGAACCACTGTAAATCGTTTGTGTTTTTCCATCTCCATACTTTAATATTGCATTTATTACTGTTCACTTGACAAGTGGTATACAAAACTATTTTGTACATCATCTGAATGCAAAGTGACCAAACAGTTAAATATCTAATTATTTACTAAAATATTGCAATTTCAAAACAATTTTATTAACATACTGTACGTTTGAACTTATTTACTAAATTACAGAATTTTTTAAAAACAAATTTAATAAATTCATTTAAAAAAAAAACAGAATCAATAACTATACTTTTGTTTTAAAATGAGGCTTAACAACCTGCTTTTAAATAAAAAAAAAAAACACTGCAACACTATCATGAGCTTAACACTAGAAAAGTGTGGTTAGTAATCACTCTTTTCTCGTGGTTGAAAAAGTTGACCATGGACAGCAAGATAGATTAGTTTCAGCCTCCACTGATGCTGAGAAGCAATGTGGGATGCAGAACCAGAAGCCAAGTTGAAACCACCAAGTGATTGAAACACAGTGATTGAAATAGAGAAGACCACAGTGATTGAACCAACCCAAGAACCATGCATCTTCACCAAAAGTCACTTGCATAGGCCAAGTTCGAGTCCAAAGGTCCTCCAAGAACAACTCCGGCAACAAAACAGGTCGTGACAGATCTAGAACTCCTGCCAAACATCAACCCTGTCGGTAGGTTCGAAAAACTTTACTCTATCACCGTTTTGCTCAGAATCACAAATCCAAATCGTTTCGTCACATTTGGCACAAATGGGTTTTAATTTTTCGATTTGGGTATTGCAAAAAAGGTGGATGCTTTATCATTCGAGTTGGGTTCTATAAATCTATTCTCGCCATTTTATCATTCAAACTTCGAAAACCTTTTACAGATTCTGTGCTTGTTTGGTTTGCATCCTAGTATTTTAAAATAATTTTTGAGGAGAATTTTAAAAATGTATTTTTAAAAATTTTTAGATCGTAAAATCTTTTTGGTTATATATTTTTGAAAATAATTTTAAAAAATAAAAAATTATAAAATTTATTTAGACAATAATCTATAAAATCCACAATTATCATCCCTATCTTTCTTTTCCCTCTCTATGTGGATTTTGACAAAATTCGCAGACGCCCGCACACAAAAATCCAAGATCTATGTAAATATGAAGTTTAATTGTTGCGAGAGAGAGAGAGAGAGAGAGGAGATGGAGACGCTGGGTTCGACAGCTATCTTCGGTTCTGCTAAAGGGGACAACAATCTTCGATGGAGAAGAAGATGGAGACGCTGGGTTTGACAGTGATCTTTGGTGCTGCTAAAGAGACAACGATCTTCGGTGGAGAAGAAGATGGAGACGCCGGAGAGAGAGAGAGAGAGAGAGAGAGAGGAAGGAAAAAAAAAAAAAAAGAACGAAGCTTTTGCTGCGAAGGGACCGAAGGGCGGACTTTATTAAACACCCAATTTTGTTCTTCGTGTTTCTAACGTTTTCAAAACTCAAAAAACAAGTGTAATTTGTTTTTTATTTTTTTTTTCTAATTCTCTTTTTTTTAAAAAAATTTAAAAACAAAAATACTAAATAAACAAGTTTTAAACGGAACAAAAAATAATTTTAAAAAACTAAACCAAACTCGCCCTCTATTTTTGTTTTTCTCAATCTCCACCCCTTCTGGCTTCTTCACCGCCTCCTACTGCTTGTTAACTATCATCGCTTCTGTGCACTGTATTCTTGTGCCAGTGACTATAAGATCTTCAGAAGCCTGAGATTATAAAAAGGCCAAAAAAAAAAAAGCACTAATGACGTACATGACACTAACAGGCTCTTTCCTTGGTGGCTCAACCGCTCAGCTGCTGCCCCCACCAAATAATTGCGTGCTTATTCACATATTGAAAAAACGTGTTTAGTAAACATTTTTTTCACTTTTTGAGATAACAAAATTGTTAACTTCATTTTTTAACAAAATTAAAATTATTGAATCCACTTTTAAAAACTGCACTAATTTAATAAATAAGTTTTAAAATATCGTATTTTGATAAAATTATTTTAAATTGCCGTATTTTAATAAAAAACTTAATAAATATCAGGGCTAAATTCCCTTTTGGCTGGTGACTGGTGAGCTCTTACACAAATCATTGATTCCAACCAATTTAGGAAGTTAGAAATATAAGTCCAAAAAGTAAAGAAAAATGAGGGATTTCGCGCCACGAAATGCATCGAGGATCAGCATAAATATCAAATATCTCTACGTTATGACATGGTTAAAGACCAAAAGCAGCAGTTGTATAATACGTCATGTTGCTCACAATCTTATTTTTATAGACTAATTTTGCAACAAAATAATAAGTGATCATCAAAGCTTCCACAGGCCAAAATCAAACAGGCAGCCACATCCTAGAACATTCCTCCCATTATATTCCCTTCGGAGCTTTGAAGTGCTGCAAGAGGACCAGAATAGAATTTTTTTTTTTGGTTAAAAGCCTCTGATTAGGGCAATTGAAAACCTAACCAACCACGTATGCAAAGATTAAACAGATAATTGCATCAGAAAACGCAAAAGGGCTGCGGTATACCTTTGTCCGACTAAAGAATACACATTCTCAGCTCTGGTAATTTCTCGTCCTACTTTCATTCTTCATCATCATCATCATCAGTGGCAAAGCTGAGTACTTGGGGAGCGTTATGTAAACAATTGCATTGCCAGGACAAGTGAGCTTCAACCTGTATGCAAGAAGCTCTGTTGAAACAGATTGTGGCCAGATGACACAAAGAGGGTGTCTGGAAGATTAATATCCATCCGGCCCACCTCGGTTATGCCTGCACCCTTACCAGTTGAGATATGTGTGCCACGATATAGCAAACCCACACATTTCAACTTAAGCACTCACTGGCAGGGTGCAGGCATGGCCCACGCCCCTTACCGGGGCCGGGCTAATCCAAAACTTGCATCAGGTTGCAGCTGATGAGCCTACAAGGGGACATGCAGCAAAATGATAGTCAAAGTGTGTATATGAGGAATGAACAACAGGAGATTAACTAAAATATCCAAATGTTCAGATAAAGAATGCGTGTTATCAAGATGGTAAATTGTTTGGTTGGTAACACGGATCATCTTACTTCCTGGTTAGCATGTAATTAAGTTGATCACATGCACTCTTAATTCCTTATGTCTCTCTTTTTCTTAATATCTTTGGGCAAAAATGCTTTTCTTGGAAAATAACGTAGTGTACATGTTAATTTTAACAATTAGTTCCTGCATGACCGCAGACAACCTGTTTCACAAAAAGTTTCATAGCTTGAGCACCATGGTAAATCCCCCCAAAAAAAAAACACTAGCTTCCTAAAATCTCAGAATATTTCCAGCACAAAGCCAAACAATAGAAAGGGCTACAAATTTTAGCTCATTAGAAACTTTTCATTTTACAGCCAAGCCATGTGTCCCTAATCCCCAATGCCAGAGGGGATTCATTACTGTTGCAAAGGCAATAAGAGATACCTCATCACATTTAGGTATAAAAACTTCGGACGAGAACATCTCTGACCTTATTATTACAAGTTTCCCAAACTTCAATAGAGCAACGGTGAGAATATGATAGTGGAAAGAACTGGGTGAACAAAATCTCCATTATATTGACAGTCAGAAGAAAGAGTCAATGACGTTGCCATACCTGTGAAAGGAGTTGTTGTTGAACATGATCGTGAGAATGGATGAACTGCATTCCAGGGCGCTGACTAAGATACTGACTGGAGTGCAAGTACAAAGCAGAAGTGGAGCGCCCGCCAATATGATTCGGGCTAAATGGAGTAATCATGATCTCAGGAGGACCATATCCAATTCCTGCATGGGTTGTTGGTGTAGCCCAGGACCCAGGTAGATGTTGAGGGAGTGGCTGAGGTTGATGTTCTGTCAAAATAGAAGGCCTATGAGCTGATCCAAGTTGTGGGAATTCAGTGCTGTAGTTCAATGCAGGAGAATACATAGGCTGTATGGTATATGGTCCTCCGTTGTACCCAGATCCTAGATCAAATCTTTGCAAATATCTGTGAGAAAACATTATAGGTCACTTATGGCTTACTGATAAAAGAAAAAATAATGTTCACTCTTTCTTCATGTACTAAGCACCTTAGAATTAAGACATGTTACGATTACGGAAGATAGTTTTCATTTCTATCCACCAAAGGCAGCCAATTGTTCACCCAGAAACATAATAGAAAGACAAAAGCAGATTACAGTAAGGGGAAGGTTCTATAGATCTCAACACTGCTTTGAAATATGTACATGCTAAGGAGAGCGACCAATCAATCAGTTCCGCATGTATTTCAAAAGCCAACAAAAATACCAACCATTGATCATTTGGGTCAGTGAATACAAAAATACATCCCAAAGGATATAATCATAAAGATAGTATAATATATCTTTTTAAAGTAAATAAAGGGTAAATTGTATTGGACATGAGACCATGCATTACAATGTTACCAAGAGCATGGTCCACACATAAATAGGTAACATTTAATTTAATGGAAAGAAAAGGGTACCATCCTAGTAGGAATAGTAATAAACCAATCAAAACGAATAGAGAAAAACAAAACTCATGCACTGAAAAATATTCAAGATATCTCAACACTCCCCTTTCTCATAGAGACGGATAAAATCATCCTGAAGATGCCAATACCATTTAATACTTTTCATAAAAGAAGAGGGGGAGCAATAAAAAGAGATGCATACCTGTCATAACTCCTATCATAGTCAGGATCCTTGCGATCAACTTCACGGTCCCGAAAAATAGCCACCCTATTACTAGTTTTAAACCTACCAACTGGCTCCTCTGTTCTATTTCTAGGTAATCCACTGCTACCTGCTGAAGAATTACTCGAAGCCCTGCCAATAATCACATCAGAACCCCCTAGAACAGATCTCTCTTCTACATTTGAGATCCCCTGTGAACCATATTGGAAAGTATCCTGTATCCTTTGTTCACTTGCAGGTCTCCCACCAGCACCCCCACTATAACTCCTAGAGTTGAATATCCGTTCACGAGCCCTGTTGTATTCCTCTTTTCTCTCTTCCACACTTTTGGAATTATTTCTCTTTAAGGAATGTGAGTTACCACTGTGGACAAACTGTGCCTGTTTCTGTGGCCTCTGTTTAATTGCAACTTTAATGACACTACCGTCTTCTGCTGGTAAACTTAGGGGAATGTCTGCCAGACGAATCAAAGGAAGCTGACAATTAGAAGTCTTGCGGACAATTATCGTGGAACCAGAACCATCTGGCAGGCTGTTGTCCAACAAAACCATTGACTGTAGTGAGTAGTGCTGGGCAACACGGTGTGCAGCCAACCGAAGATAGGAAGTAGGCAGTTGCTGGAACTCCATTTGCTGACGTGTAGGATCCCGGATGAACTTCTCAACATCCTGCTCCATCCGTAGAACTGAAAAGATATCGGAAACATTCATTTGCATGAAAAGAGAAACAGGGGAAAAAAAATATATCATGGACACTTTGTGTCCATTGTGTATATATCTAGTGCGTGCCATAACTGATACAAAATTTATTAGCATGATGGTGCTTCCTAGATCATCCCACTCAATTTTTTGTAACAATTTCTATATCAAGTGCCAATATCACCTAATTTTTATCTTTGACAGAAAAGAGGTGCACCTCTTTCTACACATTTTGTGCTTACCCCCTCGAAATCTTTGTCACCTCAACTCAGCCTTGAGCTGGGTGACCGTGCAAAAAAGAACCTTGTGTAATTTGTCCCGTGATTTCAAAACATCCTCTACGTAGATTTAGAATGAGAATCCTCCCACATTAAACACCAAAATGGTGTGTGGATCCAATTAAAGGCATCTATAAACTGCAGAATGATTTCATCAGTCCATGGCCAACTTAAAAAAGGAGTCCCAGCAAATGGTAAGCATTCTATGTCACAGAGCCTAGATTGCAGACCAACTTGTGTCAAAGGCTCATAATTACCAAAGAAAGGCTCAGTCTACTTCGTATTTAACAAAGCTACATCTCAGAGAAGTACATACAATTCACCACAAAAAGATTCACATGAGGAGCTGGCAAATTAGAAGACAATGAAGGACATTCAAATGCCAAAATTAGAGCAGATTGTATGGTTATGCATACAATTTTAAATGGCATGCCCAAAATTCCATGGAACATAAGTAGTAGGACTGCCAAAGAGAAGCTAAAAAGCGGAAGTTCAGGAAAAGGGATTAGCACGAGAGATTATAAATGCTCAGTATATGAATTGGAGATGGCGTTGGACAGGGTGTTATACTTATGTTTAGCCATTTAACAAGAAACGGGGACCTGTCACTCGCCATAAATAGGCATATCTACAGCATGCAAGGGGAAGAAGAGACACTGAAGTTTGAGGTGGACTAAATTTTCAGAACAAAGGATCTCAAAGCAATGGTTCAAGGGAAACGATGATCAGGAACTAAACACATTGCAATTGCTCAATCAATTATTTAATGATTTTCAGGGGGGAAAAAGATTAAAAAAAAGAGTAGGGGGCAAAATCGAGGAATGTTGTAATTTCTATGTACAAAGGTCTATGTTCCCTAGACAAGTCCAAGGATAAGATGTATGAACGAGGACATTGTTTGAGTTTGTGGTGTTAAATGTAAGCTGATTGATTTGCTTCAGGGGATTTTGGGCACAAAAAAGTATAGAAGTGATAGTTAAAAAGGGATGAATACAGCTAATAGTTATCGAACCTTACTTTCTTGTTTATTCAATACAGGGTTGGGACTTGGGAGTGATAGGCTCTTAATGGATAATATTTTGTATGTAAGATCTCCTCAAGCATTTGCTCTTATTGGAAATCTACAGTTTTGGAAGTGATAAATGACCTTTTGTTGCAAAATCATAATATTGACTATTTAGTAAAAAAAAAAAAAAAAAGGCAAAAAGATTGTTCTGATGGGAAGTAGATATTTCTGAGCCAACAACAATCCTCAGTTTGTAATTTCTATATTCCCTCTCTTTACCACTGTATACCTGCTATTGCGTCCATTCACCCCTGTCAATTTTGTTTCCTTTGTGTAAGCACTGAATATTAATCGTAGGCTACTAATCCACAGCCCCCACCTTTACCACTAGGCCAAGGGACCAATATTGACTTCCATTACGTAATCTAAAGTTCTTCTTACAATATGATAGAATATTTATCCATAGAATCATATTCCCATCATCATGAACCACTACTAAGTTGAGTGAAATCAGAAAAGTAAAGAGCACAATTAACAAATTCTACAACCAATTGATTTACATAGGGAAGAAGCCCATACCCACATTGATCAAACAATATAACGGATGGCCCATAAACTAACGGAGAAGATTGAACTTCAAATCCCAAAATCACTGAAACTCACCTGAGAGTCGCTCGCGAGGGTTTTGTATAGCCTCACGAAGAAACTGATCTACTGAATTAATAAAATCCTCCGAAACACCACCAGATGGTGCCGAAGACAAACAAGTTAGCGTCATCGAAGTCAAAGCTGAAACCGGTATATCAACAAGCTCAGCAGGAGAAGTAGACGACGACGACGACGACGTTTTGGTGGATAACATCAGTTTCTTCACGCTCAAGTCTAAGTCGGCGACCTCCCATGACTCCGGTGGGGCTCCTAGATCCTCCACAGAGCCCTCCATGCTCAAAGAAGAGATTCTAGTGTTTGCGTATCACAAAAATCATCAGATTAAGCTTGAATTTGAGTTTGATGACACCCTAAATTCGAAGATTTCGTCGAATTTCATGAGTTATATCGATGAATTTCCGGCTTCAACGAGAGAGATCGGGGATTGTTTAGAGAGAGAAAACGAGGAGAGAGGAGAGGAGCAGACGATAGGGTTTGACGATTGAGTGGGAGAGAGGGTTCTCCCCCTGCTCGGGTGTGCTGTTGTGTTAGCACGTGTCTTGCACGTGCTCTTCGGCTATGGTTTTGGTTCGGTGATGTGAATGTGATTTTTTTGGGTGCAGTATGTGAAAATGTGAAATTCTGAATAAGATTTATTGGGACTGAATGGATGGGACAAGTGAGAATTGGAATGCCACGTGTTTTAATACAAGTGGTAAACTGGGTTAGGACAAGGTGACAAAAATAATTTGAAGTAAATATCAGAATAGTATATATTTATATTACTTATAAATTTTAAAATATTTAAAAAAATTAATTTTATTTTATTCCTATTTTTATTATTCTAAATTGTATATTACTTTCATTTAATTTTTATTTTTTATACCTATTTCAATTTTAAAATTTTTTATTAATTGTATTTGATTTTTAAATATTTTTAAACTCATTTATTATTAGGACACTTGCATATAATTTTATATATCTATATCTGCATTTATATGAAAAAAATAAAGTTCAATTTATATTTTATTATTCTACAGTCCAATATATGTTATAGTTGATTTTTTAGTATACAGTAATATTATATTATTACAATACAAACAATAATATTATAATTTAATTAATTTTTTTGACAAAAAAATATAATAAATTTATATTTATATTTATATTTATTTATCTATACTACTTTAAAATGTGAGCATATTTGAAAAATAATTTTTTTTACTTTTATCATCCAAAACTATAATTATCTCATTCTTATCCCTCAATATTAAGCCTATTAAACCTATCCTTAACTACGTCTCTTAGTTTGTCAGTATTACAACCCTTTCATCTCTCTTCCACTCAGATTCAGCTCCTCTGTTGTTCATTAGGAACAAGAAGAGCTTGTTGTCCACCAAAAAGTCAGTTGAGGTCTTTTCTTCTTTCTTTCTTTTTTATTTTTGGCAATCAAACGGTGTCATTTGAATTAAATATGAACAGTACCGTAAAACGCCAACTACTGTGCAAGGATGTCTTATGCCTTTTTCTTTCTTCTAGGTGTATATCCTAATTTCTTCCCAATGACAAGGTAAATTATTTTTAGTGTAGTTTGATTAGTTTTAATTTATGATATCTTGTGATGGTTTTTGTTGGATTCTTTAATGAAGCCTTTGTTTTAGTCAAACTTCCACTTTTTCGATAATGTGTTGTTACTTGTTTAATGTTTATTGAAACTTTTAATCAAGCTTTTATCTTAGTTAAGATTGCTCTATTTCTGATAGATGGTTGTTTGGTGCCTTGATTTGGAGTCATTCATGAACTGAGATTTAATATAGAGTTGTCTGTGGTTAATGGAACACCATAGGTAAAAATATTAAGTGAAATACCAATTTTTTACATCTTTACATACATATTCATCGTTGTACACAAAATGTCTGTCTTACAGGGGCCATCAATCATATAAGTGTAAACAAATAAATTAGGAATGATAATTTACAAATCGTTTGGTTGAAGGTTGAACAGAGAAGAATGTGCAAACTTGTCTCTATTTCTCCTTTGTCCAAATGATTTTGGGAATTGATGGCAAAGCGATTCAAAGTGTCGACGACGAAGCTATTCCAAGGGTAACTGACGAGCAACAGGTGGGCTTCGAAGTTTTTGGGGCAAAGTCTTCGACTATATTCTTCCTAGTGGGAAGAAATCTTTTGGGGGAGAAAATTTGCAAAGGAAAAAGAAAAGAAAGGAAAAGAAGAGTCCTAAACTACGTCATTTTTTGTAATGCTCTTGCTATTCCTAGTGAACGAGTAAATATTGAGGAGCTGAACCCCCCCCCATCTATCTCTCTTTTTCTCCTGCATATTCACAATTCATAAAACCAACTATACCTATTTTTCTCTCTTCCTTTTCCTCTTCCAGAAGCCCTCGATTTTTCCTTGTCTCTGTATCTTTCTCCGCTGCTCTCAAGGTCTGAGTCTAATGATTCGGATTAGTCAATAGGATGGTTGGAGCCTCATGACTCTGGTTTCCAGAGTACTGATGATTTAGATGATAGTTTTGCTGTACCGGTTCCTTGTTAAGGGATTTGTAAGACAATTTAAAGGACAAGTTTTTGGAGAAGGTTAGGAACATCCCAGACATATGTTGTTGGTAAGAATCAAGTTCAACAAAATTTAGTCCCATAATTTTACTTATTCATTCAATTTTCAGTTTTCTTTTTTGTCATCTCTTTGCTGGTATCAACATTTTGTATTCTGATGTATACCTATATGAGGGCAAGTAGATTCCAGTTCAACTAATACTATTATAGTTAGATATATGCCGCTAATCGAATCAGCAAGTAACACTAACTTCCCATGCCTTCAGAGTTTAGTTCTACATAAATGTGAAAAGCTCAAGGAGATTCCATCCTATTTGTGAGATATAGCTGCACTAATACAATTGACTTAAGCTAGTGTAGTGGGGTGGTTGTGTATTCTGCCAGACAAATTCAGGAAGTTCAACAAAACAACAAAAATGATTGGCTAAAGATTTTTTTTAATCCTCTAGATTAGGAGCCATGATTGAGTCTACAATGTGCTATGGTGAAAACTGATACAAGACTTAGTAAATAGACCTCAAATCATACTCTGTTCATTTGTTAAGTTATGAGTTTGAACACAATCTAGTAGAAGTATTGTCAATAATAGTTATGCCTACTAAAGTGTATCTGAGTTTCAATATTTTAGCTCTTTAAAATGATTTATTTTGCATGGTTAAGCACTTTTTGATATGAATTTCATAATGAGACTAACTCTAATAATTGTTTCTTTTTTATGTTTGATTTTTCAAATGTTGGTTTGATATTGACCGAAGTTGACATAAAATGAAGAGAAAGGAGCTAAACCTTCACATAGGATAAGAAAGGGTGGTATGGTTTATTTTACCTTTTGTTTTGTTAGCATTTCAAACACCCTTTTTCCTAGGTTGAAACACACTACAGGTTCACAACATTTAAGTTGCAGATTAATGAAATGTGTGTTGTGTGGACAATGTCGTGGAGTTATACAAGCGGTTTGAAAGTGAAATGATTTATTTGCTTGTGAAGCCGTTGGGGTCTCTTTCAATACAAAGTAAACTTCGTCACATCCAAAAACCAACGAAACTTCAAGGAAGTAGACTCATAAGTGATCCAATAATAAAAACTTGAGAAGTTCCTAGGCATAACAAGTACCATTACAAGGTGTTCTGTGCTTCTATTTACAATTGCTCTTAGTGGATGTCTATGGTGATATGTTCATGTCTTGTTTTACTGCTCTGTTTTTATTAATAAAAAAAACTTATCCACGAGGATTTCTTCACTATGCAATTGTGCATTCAAATTTCTTCACTATGCAGTTATGCATTCAGATTTCTTCATTATGACTCTACTGATGTCATTGGGCAATGGTGGATGTCTGTAATCTCAATCTAAATATATCAACCTTCAATTATGCTAGAGAAAGTTTGACCAAAAAAAAAAAGTCATGCTAGAGAGAGGGAGAGGGGAAGGGGTCAGGACACTATTGTCAACTTTAGTGTTGGTTGTAGAATCAGAATCAGATGGTACATATTGAAGTTCTTAATCCCAGTACATTGAGCGAGACAGGCTGTCACAGAATGTTACAATTAATTAGGATTTAGGGGCGATATGACTTAGTTAGGGATATTTGAATGGTCTGGCTATTGACTAATTCGTAGTCTTTTTGAAGTTGTGGTCTATTATTTAAAATGTGTAGTAATTTCTAATGATGAGTGAATGGTTTGGAATGGTGTTACATGGTGCAGATAGGTGATCTAAATGTGAATTGTTTATTTTTTTCAACTAAAAACTATAGTAATGGAGATTTCTTATTTTCATTTAATAGTTGAATGAAGCTTGAAATAATGTGCTAAGTGAACATGGCTTAGGTATTATCTTTCACAGGGACAATAAATTAATAAAATCTACACTTCAAAGTTGTGGTGAACTTAAACAATTTAATAGCAGTCCCACTAGTAGCAAAGAATATAGGAATCCAACTTTAACTCATGACTTTTCTTTTGATTCGACTAGATTATCTTTGGATATTTATGTCTCTCTGTAGGCATTTTTTTTATCGGTTACGCTATCTGTCATTTAAATTCTAGGTGCCATTTTGTTTATATTTGACGGAATGTTTTTCTGATTTAATTTAATATGTTAATTCATCCCCAATTTTCTTCAAAGCATTTCTAAAGAGTTAACCTATTTTTTAGAGTCCTTTAACCCTAATTCTTAGAAACAAAGTTTGTATGGTGAAATAACTCATAATCTTTATAAATTAAAAAGCTTTAATTTAAAAATGGCTCACATGCAACGCACGTTTGCACCAACTAGTCTATACTACTAATAAAAGGAAGTTAAGTGAAAAAATTTTGATTGACTACTATATCCCTATTAAAAATGTTAAAACCAATTATATCTTTATGTATTTAATTATCAAATATTAATTAAATATCCACATGACCCTTCATATACATTCACTTTTACACAAATTATTATTCTTTATAGTGAAAATTTATTTATTTCACATGTTGATAACTCTCTTTCTCTCCCAAATTCTTTTCACTAACCATTTAGTTTATAATACAACCATTAATTAATTCTATTTTTTCAACCACTTCATTGCCACTTAATTTTCTATTGATTCATTGATATACTTGTACATGATTGTTCAAATAATAGTAAATAAAAAGTCACTTTTTTACCTTCAAACAATTGGACTTTTAATCCTTCCTCCAACACATCTTGTAAAAACTTCTACGTTGTCTCATTTACTTTTTGACCGTTCAAATTCTAACGTAATATTGATTAGCTTTGTTTGAACCTTTTTTGTGTCATACACATTCTCTCTTCTTGTGTAAAAACCTAAAAACAAAAGCCAAAAAACTCTTATAATTATTAAGTTCTATAATTATGTGAATTATTTTCTTTCTTTCTCTTTCCACCAACCAATTGATCTCACTCTTTGTGCTTATTTCTATAGTCTATGTATGTTCCTTCTATTTTGTGATTCTAATTAAGGTTTGTTCATTTTGATAGTGAAAAAAACTCAATATCTAAAAGTGGCGGACGATGGATAA